TGGCTTCAACTGGTTCAGAAAAGACCCTAGTTGTGTCTTCTCTGGGAACGTACTCCTGGAATGATTTGCAGTTTTGTATCATGGCTGCCTACATTTGTAGGCCTTCCGTTTGTTTTTCCTCTATTTTCATATCCCTAGGAGAATAGTAGTCTTACATACTGCTAGTTGACTTCAGTGCTCTTACGTTATTTTTCACTTCCTTCTCGTGTGGCAAACCTCATAGAAAAAAATCCCAGCTGTGTCTTGTGAATGAGTGAGTTTGTTTCAGCAAGATCTAGTTTGAGTATAAGCTTTTGTGTGAGCAAGGTCCAGCTCACCACTGTAAGGTAAATATTATCCATACTGCTAGTGCATTTATAACCCACCTGGAATGTTTTCTGTTTTTTTTATACTCCTGAAAGTGGTGCTGTGATTCAAAATACGTATTTTCAAACTGATGAGGTTGTCTTAAACAAAAACTATACTTAGACAAGATTATAGATTTTTGAAGTTTCTTCTTTTTTCATCCTTGCCAATGGGTCAAAGAAAATCTGTGCTTCTTTTTGGAATATTTGGGTTTTATTTTATTTTTTTTTTAGAGTCTTTCTTTGCCGCCTAGGCTGGAGTACAATGTGGTGTGATCATGTCTCACTGCATCCTCGACCTCCCAGGCTTAAGCAATCCTCCCACCTTGGCCTCCTGAGTAGCTGGGGCATGCCACCATGCCCAGCTAGTTTTTTTTTAATTCTTTGTGGCGGTGAAGTCTCACTGTGTTGCCCAGGCTTGTTTTGAGTTGCTGGACTCAAAACAATCCGCCTGCCTTGGCCTCCCCAAATGCTGGGATTACAGGTGTTAGCCACCCCGCCTGGCCATATTTTGCTTTTAAAACTCCAGATAATGTGTGGTTGTTTGGGATTCTGAACAGAGACAGTTCTCAAGCACCTGTGATTGATTGCCCGTAAGTTTTCCAGCTCTGGGCCACCTCTTGTCTGCTGCTTACTTCTGGCTCCTCTCCTGCTTGTTTGCACAAGGACCTTAGGGTAGGGAGAAGAGGTGATGGGAAATCAGTTTTTTCACTTGTTGGCAATCCAGGCAAAAGGTTTGAAGATGCAATTGCCTGGCTAATTTTGCATTGTAGTAGAGACGGGGTTTCACCATGTAGTCTCAAAGTGAGTATTTTGTATTGTCTCCGGTTTCAGTTATCCTTGTCATTCCCCTTATGTTAGAGAATGAAAGTCTGACTATAATTTTAAAATTGCTAATCATTATTCAAGAATTCAGTCTTTTTAGAACATGTGGAAAAAAGGAAAAAGAATTCAGTCTTTGAAACTTGTTTGTTATCTGTATTAACAGCATATCTGTAGTTATCTTTTTTCCCAACCATCTAAGGACACAGAGATACGGAGTTGTCTTTTGCAGTTGTAGCATAAGATGATATAGTATGAGAGACAAGGAATTAACGCTGTTTCTGATCATAACCTTGCAGCAAAGATAATTTAATTAAGGATGAGCTGTTTATCTCATTATGCCTCATTTTCCTTCACATGCAAACCTCAAGCCTTGAATAAATCAAGTGTTTCTTTTCATTTGACTGAAAGTAGCATCAGGCACAAACATGAATAGTCACCATAGCATAACACGGTTGAGTTGCCTTTGAAGTCAGACAGATCTGGGTTTGAATCTCAGCGTGTTACTAGCTGTGTGATCTTGTGCAAGTTACTACTTTGTTGTTGTTTCCTCATCTGTAAAATAGGGATAATAATACCCACCAAATAGATTTATTGTGAGAATTAAATGAGAGCATGTATGTTAACGTGTGGAGCACAATGCCTGCCACCTAGTAAATGCTTGAGAAATGGTAGCTGTAATTCTGGCTACTTGGGTAGCTGAGGCAGGATTAAGCATTTAAGAAAAACAAATATTTCCCACTCACACAAAACTAGCTTAAAAATGTTGTTTTAAAGCATAATTCTATTTGAAATGTGTCTTTATAGACACTTTTAGGCAATTAGGGGCTGGGAGCAGTGGCTCATGTCTGTATTCACAGCAGTTTGGAAGGCCAAGGCCAGCAGATCACTTGAGGTCAGGAGTTTGAGACCAGACTGGCCAACATGGTGAAACCTCGTATCTACCAAGAAATACAAAAATTAGCTGGATGTGGTGGTGCACGCCTGTAGTCCCAGCTACTCAGGAGGCTGAGGCAGGAGAATCACCTGAGCCTGGGAGGCGGGGGCTGTAATGAGCTGAGATGGCACCACTGCATTCCAGTCTGGGTGACAGAGTGAGACCCATTATCAAAAAATCAATTAATTAAAATAGAAATAGAAGGCCGTAAGTAATTTTTCTGTAACTGTTTTATTTACAGGATTTTTTTGCAGACCTTAACTTTGGGATTCCCTTTATTAACTTTTTATTATATTTTGGCTTATGCACTTTCTCACTTTAACTTTTAATAATTTAGGTAGTTTGGCTGTGTGTTCATCTCTAACCGCATATTTTTTTACCCACAAGTTGTTCAAAGAGGAGAAGTTGTTCTCTTGGGTGATTTAGATTATTTGAAAAATCAAGAAATGTGGTGTACTTTTAGTTCTGTCAAAACCAAGATTCTAACCTCGCTACCAACAGCATGCAGCAGAGTGGCAGCTAGCGCTGGACGGGGAAGTCCTAGAGAAAGGCAAGACTGTTCATGAGAATAACTGTGTGTGTGTGTGTGTGTGTGTTTTTTTTTTTAAGCATTTTCTCCTTCAGCATTTATCCATGAGACAGTCACCAAGATGACCCAGGGGTTGTACCGCGTTGCAGGCTTCTGCCGTTTGACCTTCCTGCCTGCCAGGGTTTTGAGGTCATACTGTTATTTGTTCTTAAATGAGTAGCCCGGTGAACTGCAGAATATATAAAGGAGATCCCTGATGTCCTGATGTGTCAAGTGTCAAGGGCGGGGGGGGGAGTAAAGGATTATTTATTTATTTATTTATTTATTTTTGAGATGGAGTCTCGTTCTGTGGCCCAGGCTGGAGTGTAGTGGTGCGACCTGCTGGGATTACAGGCACGAGCCACTGCACCTGGCTTTCTTTTTTTTTTTTTGGGATGGAGTCTCACTCTGTTGCCCATACTGGAGTGCACTGGCGCAATCTTGCTCACTGCAACCTCTGCCTCCTGGGTTCAAGTGATTGTCCTGCCTCAGCTACCCAAGTAGCGGGAATTACAGGCGCGTGCCACCACACCTGGCTAATTTTTGCATTTTTAGTAGAGATGGGGTTTCA